TCATGTATTTGTTTTTCATTTATTTCTTTATTTTTTCCCGTCTTTTGATCAATTCTCAACAATTTTTTCCCGATAAATATAGTTATAAATCTCTCATATGAACATGGAGTTTCACTTGCTTTTTCTACTATAGTTAATGTTTTTGGTTCAAGATATGCTTTTATTATTTTTTCTTTTAAAGTGACATTTATTGGAATCTCTTTATAGCATTTTTCATTTGGTAGAAATGTGATGTTTTCATAAGGTATTGGAAAGCATGTTCTTGTCTCTAATATTTCATTGGATATCCATTTACCTAAGACATATGGTGTATTCATGATTAACTTAGCTACAATGTTGCTGTCGGTTCCACTTATTAATTTGTTTTGGTGTTCTCCGTTAATATCTTTGGCACAAAGGATACTAGTCAAATGATTAAATACTTTTTTAACTTTCTCTGTAGAGAGTATTTCGGCGGCTGTTAGTTCTGCGGCTAATTGGTTACTCAAAATTAATCCGCTTCTGGTGTTTTTATTTTCTCGTTTTCTTCTTATTTTTTCTTTTAAGCTCAATATTTGGTATTGCTGTGCTGGTACTGCGTAACCTTGCTCGCTTATGATTAATTCTTTATTACAATCTATTATTTTTGTGGGGTTATTTGTAAATGAAATTCCTATCTCTTTATTATCTGCTAACCAAATTCTACCCATCCATGTGCCTTTCCATTTACTAACTCTTGAAAATTTACACATTTTTTCGTTTTTTTCTTTATTTTCTGCTTCCCAAATAATCAGTGAATCATCTTCTAAAAGGCAAGCTGCGTTTTCATATCGGCAATGTGAAATATCAACTCCTGGGGAAAATATTGAAGATGAATCTGGTTTAGCGTAAATGCTTATTTTACTTAGGAAACAATTGGATTCGCTTGTTTCTTGATATCCGATTGACCAGTAAGCGTATTCTATCTTTGCTTTATTATTTGTATGACTTATGTTTCTGTTTCCAGTTAATTCCCCTAATCTACATTTTGATTTTTTCCATATTCTGTTGCATTCCTCTATACTTATTTCTTCTTTTCTGTTTGTCGAAAAAATGTGTGGTATGTTTAATAAATCCTTTTTGTACTTGTAATTTGTGCTTAGTATAGAACAATGTGCAGCTGGTATTGGTACAAGGTCTATATTTGGTTGGTAGATATCGAAACTGTGTGTTGTAGGTAGTGGAGGATCCTTTGTGAAATTCACACAAGGTTGATGGTTTTTCTTTATCCTCCAATAGATTTGATTTTTCTGCCCCGGGCAGATCATCGGTGATTGTAGTAAGCTCAGAGGGAACATAATAGCTAATATACTGAAGAAAAACGCGTGTGTAATAAATTTCCCTTTCATTTGGTTCACTTTAAAATAGTTAATTTTTTCTTTAATTATTTTATTTTCTTCTACTTTTGGGATTTCTAGACTATACAAGTGATTTGGCGGTCGTGTTAATATTTTACCATTTCCTAATTTTAGTTTTATAGCTCGATTCTTGATGTTCTCCAGTACTTTACCAATCTTCCAACAACCTTTTGGTAGGGATTCGTCATATATTTGGACAAGTTCCCCAATTTTCGGTTGTCCTTTTGCTGGATTTTTTGGATTATTGTGTTTATCCCTCCTTTCTCTTAACATCGTTAGATACTCTATTGACCAATTTTTCCAAAACTTATTTATGATTATATTATGTTTTTTCCACTCTTTTAGCAATTTTTCAGCTGAGTCTGCATTTTGGGGTAAATAATCTTCATCGGCATCATTGGTGATGGGTGGGAATCCTTGTTGCGCAAAAGGGTAAGTAAAATCAATTGGTCTTAGAGCCATAATTCCTTGTTCGTCGTCTATCTGTACTAATGGTCGACAATTAATTATAGCCTCTACTTCACATATAAGTGTTTCGAAGTCTTCGTGATTTAGTAATTTTCTACCTATTGTTTTTCGAATATTGTTTTTTATCATCCCGTTAATCCGTTCATATACGCCCCCCTGCCAAGGGGCAAGCGGGGTTATAAATTGCCAATTTATGTTCTCTTTAGCAAAATATTGTTGGAGGCCGTCATCTATTATTTGATCCGGTTTAATCCTTTTTAATGTTTTTTCGGCTAGAACAAAGCTAGCCCCATTATCTGAAAGAATGTACTCTGGCCTGGTCCTTCTAGCTACAAATTTCCTAAATGCGTTCAAAAAGGCGTAAGTACTGATGCTAGTTACTAACTCGAGGTGTATCGTTCGAGTTGAAAGACAGGTTAGTAATAGTATCCATCTTTTGCTTGTTCCTTCAGTCTTATCTTTTACAATAATTGGTCCCATGAAGTCTAATCCCGTGTTTTGGAACACTCGAGAGGGAGTGACTCGTGTTTCTGGGAGAGATGGCATTTGTGTCAGCGGGTATGGTTTTAGTTTTCGGCAATTTTCCAAGCATTCTTTTAATGTATTTTTAACTAGTTGTCTTCCTTTGGGTATGTAGTATGTTAATTTCAGATGAGCCAGTGTTGACTGAATTCCCGAGTGTTGCCTTGCTTTATGTGCATATAGTATTATGAGCCTCGTTAGCGGATCCTTCCTAGGTAAGTATATCGGGTTTGCGAACTCATAACCATTAGGTAGATTCTGCAGTCGGGTTTTACACCTCAGAACATTATTTTCATCAAAAAATAAGTTTAATGTTTCTATTTGATCTTTAGAGATATTTTCCCTTAATTGTGCCTGTTTTATTAACATTATTTTGGCCATTTTAATATCTGCTGCCGTGAAGTTTCCTTTTTTATTAATTTTATGGAACCAAACTCTCTTGTCCTTTTTTAGTTTTGAAAGAATATAGATATTCAAAAATCTAAGTATGAACATAGTGGTGTGAATTAATTTCCACCAGGAGCTAAATTTATCAACCTTTGGTATGAAGCTTATTTTTGCCTGTTCTGCTGTGATTTCATAACAAGGGACTGTTAATTTAGATTGTTCCTTTATATTATAAACTAGCGTATTCGGCCATTTTGTTTCGTTTTCTAACCACTCTGGTCCCTTCCACCATAGCACGTTTTTTGCTAATTCTGGTCCATTAGTTCCTTTACTAGCTATATCAGCTGGATTATCCATAGTTCCGACATGCCTATATTCGATTTCTTTATTTTTCCTAATTTCTACTAGCCTATTATTTATGAATGTTTCTTTATGTTTAATATTTTTTATCCACGAGATTGCTATGATTGAATCACTCCAGAGGATAATTTTATCGATGGGTCGCTTTAATTCCTTTATAATAAATGAGATTGTTCTAGTGCCAATTAATATAGCAAGTAATTCGAGTCTGGGGATTGTGAGAGTATTTTCTTTCTTTTTTGGTACAATTCTATTTTTTGCAAAAATTAAGTTGATATTAGTTTGATGTGAACACTGTACTCTTAGGTAAACATTAGATGCATATGCTTTTTTGGAGGAATCAACAAAACAATGAATTTGAAAATTTTCTTGCTCCTCACATCCATGTATTAATTTCCTTGGCCTACTAAATTCTTGTTCTCCCCAATCTTCGATTATTCTATTTATTTCGTCCAACTCATCTTCTTCTAATGGGCCATTCCAATCTATATCTCGATTACATACTTTTTGATATAAAAGCTTGGCTGGTAGTAAAGTCGGTCCAATAAGGCCTAGAGGGTCAAAGTTTGAGTGTATAAGTGACAAAAGTTCCCTTTTATTCATTGCATTATAAGACTTTCCAGGTAGTTTTTGTGAGTATTTATCCGTTTCTTTCTGCCAATTAATACCTAAAAATTTGATATTTCCTTTTTCTATTCCTGGGTGTTTATCAGCTTCTTCAAATAATTGATTGTATTCCATGGGGCTCGTGCAAAATTCTCGAATTTTCATGCTTGCTTTTTCAAAAATCTTTATCATTTCTAAATATTTCTTTTTTATTTCCTTTTCGTTTTTTGCGCCTAATATTATATTATCCATGTATAAATTATTTTTAATTTCTTCTGAGAGGGGGTTATCGATTGTTTCTAAGTGGTGCAAAATTGTAGCAATCAGCAAAAAAGGGCTGGATATGACGCCAAAAAGTACCCTAGTAAATCTATAGCAAACAAGATTTTGATTCTCTGGCGGAAGTTGAATGTCTTTGAGCCAGAGAAAGCGGGTGACGTCTCTATCTTGTGTTCTTAGTTGTATTTGTAGAAAGGCTTTAGCAATGTCCGCAATTAATAAATGGTTAAACAAGAATGTTCTAATAATTATTCCAGGCAATTGTGGTAAAAGAACTGCTCCTCGCAGGAGTTCATTATTTAGAGGAGTCTTCCCTGAGCCTGCGTCGAAGACAACTCTCAATTTAGTAAATGACGAGGAACTTTTAAGAACCGGTTGGTGAGGTAAATAATGAATAATTTCTTGTGTGTTTTTAGGTGCAATTTCAATCATGTTTAATTCAAGTTGTTCTTTCATAATTTTATCTATTGATTCTAATACTCCGGGTATTTTTTGATATTTTCTCCATAGGGACTTGAGCCTGCCAAAAGTTACTCCAAAATTTGAGTTTAATGTTTTCTTTGACTCCAATCTCCAGGGCCATCCTACTTCATATCGCCCATCCGATAGCTGTTTAATGGTTTCATTAAATTGTGTCCAAGCTTGCTCATCATCGATTGTTTCCAAGCCTGGTTCCCTTATCCCTATTGTTTCTAAATTCCAAAAATCTTTCTCCTCTAGTTTCTCGCTTTTTTCTCCTACTACACTCATTACATATTGTGTTTCTGTTTCTGGGTCTGTTTCATTAATTTTTGCCTTTCCACACATTATTGGTCCTAATTTTGAGCGAATTAAATATCTTTGACCGGGTAAACTTTCTATACTCTCCAAAATGTTGAGAACGTCCACCAACCCAAACAGTAAATCTGGTGTTCGTTTTCTTACTTCTATTTCTCCTTTACTATAAAGCCAAAATTCTTTAGGATCCCGAGCACAGTATAGTTTCATCTGCTCTAAATTAGGTGTGGTGAATGCTTCTATCCGAATATTTGGACCATTTTTTGTTTTAAATTCAACTGGGATGCAATAAGAGGTAAAACGTGATTTTCTGCCTCCGTACCCATCAACTTCAAGCTCGGTTCTATTTTTAGATTCTTCATTTAAGATTCCTAGTCGCCGAGCAAATTTTTCACAAATTAAGGTACAGGTAGCCCCGGGATCCATCAATGTGAAACCAAAAATTCCTTCCTTATTTGTATTTAAATATTCAACATTTTTTGTCACGAGTAATGTTTTAACTTTTTCTCCTTTCAGGGCGAGTGAATTGATTTTTTCTGTTTCATTAAATTGGTCATAACAGTTAACTTTTAAAGTATTTATTAAACAACTAATGTCCTCCTTGTAAAATTTTGGTTCGGAAACTGTATGATCATTTGTAGTAATTTTATTGGTTTGAGTGTGTATAGGGGCAGTTACTTGATAAGTTGCTTGAGAAGTTGATTGAATTAGAGGTTTATTTGTTTGTTGGTATCTTCCGAAATTCTCTTCCCTTATATTATGGACATTTTCGTGTTTGGACAATGTTTTATGACAAATGGCGAAATAGTGTGGTGCTGAACAATTTTTACATTTAATTTTATTATTTTGACAGAATTTAGATATATGACCCCTTTCAAAACATTTTATACATTTGCGCATTTCTTTCAGGCGCTGGATTCTTGCCTCCGCATTTTGATATTTTTTGCATTGCATAGAACTATGATTATCTATTTCGCAGAATGCACATGGTCGTTTTTCTTTTTTTCTATCATTGGGATATTGCTTTATCTCTGTTCTCCTATCCCTCCAATCCGAATTCTTATTTGATTCAGCATTCTGTGCAAATACATGGTGATTTTGTCTAGGTGGTGGCCTACGGTATGTGGAAGAGCTCTGGAAATTATTCTGCCCACTCTGTCCGTATACCGCCTCTTTAATTCTTAGGCTTTTATTGACAGCCTCAAGTAAACACTCGACTGTCCATTCGGGGTTCTTGCTCTGTTCCTCAAGTATGGTACAGCTAACCCAGCCACTAAACTTGTTTTCTATCTGCTGAATTAATGCACCGTTATCTATTTGTTCACCATGGGCCTTAAGTTGTTGAGTGATCCTATTTATGCTTATCCAATTTTTTCTAACATCCTCTAATTTAATGGCGCGGGGGCATAGCTTATCTAGTTCACTATACAACGACCTCCTGACGGTTTGTGGTTCACCAAATCTTTTTTTGAGATGTTCTACGACCAATGGGTAATTTATGGCAATAACAGGAAACCCAGAAACTTCATTGTAAGGGTGTGGGCGAGTCAACGAAGCCATTAAATATGTTAATTTTTCACAGTCATCTAAATTATTGTTTTTATCAATTGCGACTTCAAAAAGGCTCCAAAAATTTGCCCATTCTGTGACCTTTCCATTAAAAGTGGGGAGACTACAGATCGGGAGTCTGATCGATGAAGTTGGGGTATGTGTTGCTGTCATATTAAACGAATTATTTATCGGAGCAGAAATATCAATTAACTTAGCCTCAACTTCACAACTTAAATCACGAGCAATATCCAGCAAGGCGATAAATCCACTTTCCCCTTCGGCATGAGAGTTATAGTCTTTCAACATTTCCTCTCGTTTGTCTGCTGCCTCAAGACTAATAAGCTTGGCCCATTCTGAATTTAATTGCTCCAAAACATCCACGGACTTTGATAATTTTAGCTGATTTGCTCTTAGTTTAATTATGGAATCCGCCGTGAGTTCTGCCGAAATTAATTCTCTAGAATTGTCTATGTATCCTAAGGTCCTTTTTTTAAGTGGACCTAAGCGCATTTTAAGAGGGCCGGCATATACCTTCGAGGTCATTTTTTATATTTTATTTGATCTCCAAGTCTTTATTGTACTCTTTTCTCTTCCTTGTATTTTTATATTTCTTTTTAAAGGAGAATTTTTTCAATCGATTGTTTGTTTATTTCTCACAGAAGACAATGATCGTTTTGAAAAAAATGTTTATTTTGTTTTTAAAATTTTACAATTGAAGAATAATTTTTAGAAAAAATTTTTAAATCAATCAAATTAAAGCTTTTAAATTAATTAAGCAAATTTTTAATTATTTTCTTTTTCTTTAATTATATTTCCTAGTTTTTCAAATAATTGCCCTGCTGCTCTAAATGTGGCACCAAGATCTCGGTAGACGTCGGCCAAACGAGAATTTTTTCGGGTAGCTTCTCCGAGGGCCTTCGCTTCGATTATTTGATTTTCTTCCAACTTCTTTTTGGCCTCGGTCTGGTCGTTTGCCTGAATTTGTTTTTTTGAATAAATTACCGGTAAATTTAAAATCCTTTGTAAGAAATTTAGATTTACTTTTTGTGGCTGAGCCTTGGTTTGTGGAGTGTTTCTGACAGGGCACCTCACTGGTGTTCGATGATAGACTCTGGTTGGTACCACAGCTGCTTCCTTGCTCAAAGTGTGATCCTCCTTGAAAGATTAAGGTTTCGAAAATTTGTCTTTTTAAAAATTCAGAAGTTTTTTTGTGTTGGTAATTAACTATTTGTGAGTCTACCTTCTTTTTGTAATTGTTTGGTTCAACTCTGTTACGTATTGGAGTAGGAGGTGAACAAGCCCTACGTGGTGTAGCAGGTTGTTTTAATTTCGGAGAGTCCTTCCTGAATAAAAATAATGGACTGATGGATCTCTTTATTACGAACCTCTTTAATGGGGGTTCTTCGTCTGTTGAGTCTTCGGAAATCGTTGGAAGAATTTCCTTGTAATTCCTTTTGTTGTTTTTAGCTGTTGGAGAGCCTCCTTCTTTAATTTTTTCAATTTCTTCACTTTTTGGCCCTTCTTTCTTTATTTTAACTTCAGCTGGGGAAGTTGTTGCTTTTAATGTTGAACAAGCCAAACAAGTGCAATTTGACGATTCTTTGTGTTGAATTCGAATTGCGTCCAGAATTTGTTGTAAAACGTCCTTGTTGATATTTTCCGACACTAAAAAAATAAATTTTATTTTTTTAAAAATATTTTTTTTGTTTTTGTTGGCCTCTCCCGGAGCACCACTTTTGTCAACTAAAAGCTTACTTTGACAAATAAAATTTTTGGGGAAGCTAGGTCCCAAGAGTTATTGAATAAGTTGAATTTAAATAAAATATTTATCTTTAAAATTAAATACAATTAAATGTATTTGTAAAGAATTAAATGGAAAATTAAAACTGAAGATGATAGGGAAGATCTGCCTATTGTTTATATAGGGGATTTAATGGACAATAGGCAGAGATTTAAACAATAATGAATAGAGAAGTGATATGAAAAATAGTATTAACGAGGGGTGAAAAGACAATAGTTTCCGGAAAAAAGAAGAGCGAAGAAGGGGTCAAAGTGGAAAACATGGGAAAATAATTTATGAAATTGTCTGTCGTGGACAGGTGAAATAAAGGGGAAAATAGGAAGAAATATTTAAATTTATTAATAATTATAATTTCGTGTTCCTTACACGACAGGTGACACGCTCTATCTTGATTTGAGCAAAACTTTTTTAAGCCTGGTTTTATCTATCGAAAGAAAAGATGCAACGAGCGGGGAGTGGGTTCCAATTACAGACGGTGAAGCGGCCGATTTTAAAGGAGATAAATATACAGGCGTTGCTCAATATTTAGGTCTTACATGGATTCGCCGTCTCACTCTTTCAATAAATGGTGTTCAATGTTATGACTCGGGTATACACTATGCATATAGATGTATAATTCTTCATGAACTTGGCGCAGATCGAGAGGTAAGTAAAGGCATTTACGAAGCTGCTCTTTATTATAAGGACGCTGTTGATAAAGATGATTATGATGGATCAGGATTTAAATCTCGTGCTTCTCGTTTTGCTAAAGGTAAATTATGTAGAATGTTTTCTCATTTAGATTATGATATGGCGCGTCAAAACCAGCTCTTAATTCCGCATAGTGACGTGATCTGGACAATATACAAAAATTCAGATGAATTTCTAATCCATACTCCAAAATTTCGTAACGCTGCCGCTTTAGTAGACAACACTCATACATACCGTCTTCGTCTTCATGACATGAGAGTTTTTGTTAAACAGGTTGATTTGAGTATGTCGTTGAATAATGCTATCGCTCGACATCTTGAACAGGCACCTGCAAAATATGCTTATAGAAAAATAGATATTCGAAGTGTTTATCTTGGAAAAGGGCGTCAGGAAATTACGCATGCAACGTTCACTAGTACGTGTCCAAGGCGTTTAGTAATTTGTTTTGTAAACTCCCCAGCGTTTACTGGAAATACTGCATTGTCCCCGTTTACTTTTGAACATGCAAATATACGCTCAATTTCGGCAGAATTTGGAGGATTTCAGTTCCCCGCTGTTTCGTATGATCTTGATTTCGCTGATAACAACTTTGTTCGCGCTTATTCTGATATGTATGTAGGTATGGATCTTGATAATTGGCCAAACACTGACCAAAGAACTCTTGATATCAGTATGAAGGAATTTTCTAAATCATCCTGTTTCTTTGTTATTCCGATGACTTCAACACTTGAAGATACGAACGGACTAGAATTAATCAGACAAGGAACAACGACTGTACGTTGTATTTTCAATCACCCCGTAAAGGATGATGGATATGAAATGATAATTATGGGCGAGTTCGATGCAATACTGTCCATAAATGCAGATCGTGTTTTAAGTACTGACGGATCAGTTTAAAATGAATTCACTTCAGATTGAAAAAATATTATACCGCTACCCTTCACTTAAAAATAAATTTTTAGGTGTTTTCTCTTCGAATAATATACCAAACATTGTAAGGAATAGACCTTTTTGTTTTGTTGCAAACACGATGCGGAAAGGTACGGTAGGTGAGCACTGGATTGCATGCTATTCAGATACTCCAGATACATTGGAATATTTTGACTCATTTGCCGAGGAACCAAATTGTGACATGAGACATTCAATGCTAGCCAATTTTTCCTTAGTGAAACAAAATAAATTTTCCTTACAATCTCCCTTGTCAGATACTTGTGGACATTATTGTATTTGCTTCCTCATCCTACGTTCAAAACAGGGTAATACTTTTTCATCCGTTCTTCAAAAGTTGCATTCAATCCCTTCGGAGGGGCGTGATTTTGTTTTAAAACGTTTTCTAGCCCGTTTATCGCTGATGCCTAGTATATAAGATAAGAAGTATTTAATTTCATAATAAAAAATGGTGTACCTTGTTTTTCTTATTTTCTGCCTTTATGCGGTTTACGCTTACGAGCAAAACGATAGTAATATTCTTTATCCTCTTCATGGACCAATTCCTCCAAATGTAAATGCCTGCTTTATCGTTGATAGGGCTCATGCCCTTTCGATAGGGCCTTCAGAAAATCCTAATAAAGATATGTTTCTATTAATAGCTTATGTCCTCGATTTGGTACTAATTTTTGTTTTGGCTGTAGTGTTTAAGGCACATGTGAATTTAAGAAGAAATGGAAATGGCGAACTTCCTGGAATTAGGTTTGCTAAAGGACCCCTTAGTATATAAGGTATAAATAATAAGAGCGGAAGATAATCAAGATGCGAACAAGCGACGACACGTCAGGAAGGAGTGAATCTTCCAAAATATCTCCGCCCTTGAAAACGGGTTCTCTTCTTCAGTTACTTTGTAAATTCAATGGAGGATGTACACCTGAATCATTGCACATCGAAATGAGAAAAAGATACAACGAAAATTTACAACACATACAAACACTTACAAGCATGACAAATGAAGATATCGCAACCGCGGGAATTGGACAACGTGAATTTTCTGATGGAAAACCTGGAAAGAAGTATTTAGTTACAAATCATTTGC